ATTCAGTGGACTTTGCTGCTGAGGTGAGATGTGTAGGATTCCATTTTAATGACATTTTCTTTAAATGATTCAACTAGATTTGCTCCCCCACTCCTTATGTGCGTAATACAGTTCAAAATTCGTAAAGGTTGGCCAGAGAGGTGTGCAATTAGCCATTTTACACTTTCTTATACATTGACATTACAATGCTGCCCCCTTTTGGTTATTTTCTTACTTAGCTGGCTAGGCTATTTGGTTGCCATTGGAGCAATGTAGCTTTTTGCTAGTTGCTTGTTGCTGTGTTTTAAAAGTTGCTTCTTTTAGTATTATCAGAGTGCATGGTGCCTTAATAAAGAACAAATGTCATCTCCCACCACCGAAGGATTTACAAGATGTTTTATATTATATATTTGTTCATCTATGCATTCATTCATCCATACTTTATTCCATTCTTTGCCCAGCCATGAGATCCAAGGCAGTTTATGAAACATAAAACAGAGACAGTTAAAAGTTCACATCATCAAAAAGTTAAAATAAAACTAAACTATCAATATATTGAAAAGCAATTTAAAAGCATAGACATTAAAAAGAAAAACACCAAGAATGGACAATACAGCACATAATTAAAGACCTTTGCCTCAAAAGCAATCTGTTCTCAAAGGCCTGTAAAAGGAAAAAAGTCTCAACCAGCATATGAAAAGATAGTAGGGCAGGTCCCAATCTAGTTTGTTTAGGAAGGAAGTTCCAAATCCTGGCAGCAGCTACTAAGACCCTCTTCTGTATTCTCAGCAGATTTACCTGTGGGTAGGGAGGAAAGTCTTCCCTCTGGATCTCAAACCATGAGCTTGAGATAATATGGTCCTTCAGAAAAACATGGACCTGAGCCATATAAGGCTTTATAGGTCTCAACCAGCACTCTGAATTGTGCCCAGAAACAGATCAGAATTCAACGAAGTTGCTGCAGCAGCAACAACAAAAACGCTATATTCCTATAGCCACCCCAGTTAACAGTCTGGTTGCAGCTCTTTTGACCAGCTGAA